TTTTCAGCTTCCCAAACTGAAACTCTGTGCCATTAAACACTAGCCTCCACTGCCCCTCTCCCAGCCCCTAGCAGTCACAGTTCTTTCTGTCTCTCTGAGTAACTACCCTAGATATGTCCTCTAAGTAGAATCACATGGTATTTCTCCTTTTATGACTGGCTTATCTTACTTAGCTTTATGTCTTCAGGGTTCATCCATGTTGTAGCGTGCATCAGAATCCCTTTCCCTTTGACAACTGAACAGTTGTATGCATAAACTACATTTTGCTTATCTGTTCATCCTTCACTGGACACATTGGCTGCTTCCAACTTTTGGCTATTCTGAGTAATGCTACTGTGAACATGGGTGTACTAACATCTTACCATCACTATTTCTTTACTCTATCTAGTTTTAAAATGACACATAGCTACTGAGTAAAATAAGACACAACAGCCTAGCATGTTCCTGGCTAACCTTGCTGACTCTAAAACTCAGCTCAGACATCACCTCTCCTACACTCCCTGATCCTGAATTGGAGTGAGGCACCTCCCTGGGTCCCATCAGCCCTGTGCTCACCTCCACCCCAGCAGGGAGCTTCATATGCTGCTGGACTGGCTGGTTGCGTGGCTCCCATGGGTGGAGCCATATTTGCATCTCTACCTCTCGAAGCTGGGGACAGAGCTGGAAATAGGAGTGAGTAGAGGAAAGAAGGCTGTGGAGAGAGGGATGTGCCCTGGGCTGCTGGGTGTGTGACCCCCTGTCATGGGTACATTTGTGCTCCTTTCTCATCCTGACTCAAGTCTTACATAGTGAGGTCAGGAGGCTACTTTGGCTGCAGAAGCGAGCTTGTTTTGAATCCCTGGCTGTGAACATAGCACTCGGTGGAGCAAGCAGGGGCAGCCCCTCCCCACAGCCCCAGGAGAGGGGTGAATTGCAGAGCACCTTTGGCTCAGGAGCAGAGCAAACGTACATGGGCCTCACCCCCATCTCATGTGCAGAGGACTGTGTCACCCATGCCTCTTCGAGGCTCTGGGCAAGGGAAATCCTAAGGACTCTTCTGGAAAGCACTGGACAGCAGGAAGAAGGGATGCGTGGGTTGTTTTCCATCCTATTACCAGAGGCAAAGGAGAGAAGAGGCCACATGACCAGCAGTCCCTCGCAGCTCTGTGGGAATCTGACGTGTGAAAACAGCGCCCCTAACAAGCCAGCTTCTACAAATTGCTCAAACCAAGAAATCATCTTTGTGGGAAGCCTCTTAAATATGTAGAACCTTTTGGATGAATATCTTTGCTTTTTCCATGTCGCTCTTGACTCTCTCTGCAGATCTGACTTCTCAAGTCAGCAATGGGCAGGAGGTATAGAGATGTCCAGGGCAGGAATGCTAAGCCATGCCCAACTTCTCCCCCACCCTGTGTGTCCGGGATATGATCTTTATGTAGATCAGAGTCACCACCTACAGTCACTAAAGCATATGCCCAGCCGTGCACCCAGGAATGGAGCTGCATCCTGCGGCCCATGGCATACACTCCCAGTCAGGTGACATCCCCATGAGCATGACAGGCTTGGCCCTGGAAGCATGGCAGTGCAAAAGAAGGAGCAGACTCAGAGCTGTTTTCACCACTGAAGTCGGCACAAGTGCCCCAAAAGGGTCTCACTGTAACGCCTGACATTTATATCCACAAAATCAATTGCAAAAGGGTGGGACAAAGGAGATCTGGTGGGAATCAGTTCATGAAAGACACAAAGAAGGTGGGGTTGTGGGGAAGGGAATAAAACTGGCATGTAATCTGGTTGCTTAAAAATATCGAAAGAGGGCAACATTGGGCAGCATTAATGAAGACGGAGTCTCCATTTAAAAAGAGAGAAAAATGATCCCATTCATTCCTGATGCTTCCAGACCACAGGTGGGCCATTTTGTCCCCTTGAAGAACAGTGGTGACTGGTTAGAAGGTAGAATGCAAGGCACTGAAAAGTCTGCCACATGGGGGCGATTTTGATCAAGAGAAGACTTGAACAAAAGAACTATCTTCACATATTTAAGAGAACATCTGGCTAGGCTTGGCTCAGCCTGTAATCTCAGCACTTTGGAAGACCGAGGCACGTGAATTGCCTGAGCCCACGAATTTGAGATCAGCCCGGGCAACTTGGCGAGCCCTCGTCTCTACAATAAATCAAAAATTAGCTACGCGTGGTAGCACGCCTGTAGTTCCAGCTACTTGGAAGGCTGAGGCAAAAGGATCACCAGAGCCCAGCAGGTCAACACTGGGGTGGCCATGAGCGTGCCACTGCACTCCAGCCTGGGTGACAGAGTGAGACTCCAACTCCAAAAAGAAAACATCTGAGTTACCACAAAGACTAGAACCAGGAGAATTACACAGAATTTAGTTCAGCTCATGTAGTGTCATTTAAGCCATTGCCAGGTGCTAAGATGGAGCTTTACACACTACCCTCTGGGAAGGCCATCTCCTACCAAGGAGACCATAGCAGCACTAATAGCTAGTTATATGGCTTAGGTGTGTTGGCTGCTATTGCATGAGCAATACAACTATACCCTAAGGGAGGCACTGCCACTCCCACCCCTGCTGTGTAAGCCATGGGTCTAAAGAGGCCTTCACTAGAGTTAGGCCCTGGGAGCCTGAGGTCTGAGGGCTGAGTCTGCCAGAGGAGTTAGAAGTTAGTTCCAGAGATGGTCTGGATGAATGAGCCTAGCTTGGGGCAGGGGAGGAGCCCAGGTAGCTCCTTCTCACCACTAGAGACACCTGTACCACCTCAGCTGCTTTAGGCCACTGTCATCTATCGCCTAGAATGTCACATGGGCCTCCTCCAAGGTCTTGCCTCCACCGCTCTTGTCCACTATAAACCTGTCCACACAGAGCTGGGGTCCTCTAGAGCCAGGAAGAGCCTGTCACTCCTCTCTCAAAACTCACCAGGACTCCCCATCTTATTTGAATAAGAGCTGTTGGAGCCAGCCAGGCCCTAATCTCACGCTTCACCTCCCAGATCCCATGCTCTCCCCTTACTCTCCACTTTCTCACTCTCCCAGCCACCCCAGACCCTGGTCATTTCTCAGCCCCAACAGCATGCTCCTCCACTGGGGCCTTTGCACCCACTGTGCCCTCTGCCTGGAAGCCTTTTTTCAGGGAGCCATGGGGTTCGTTTCTCTCCAGGCTCTGTTAAGATGTCAGCTTCCTTGCCCCACTGTATAAGATAGTGCTTACCCCCACCTGATCCTTGTTCAACTTTACACCGCTTAGCTTATCTCTGAAGCACATGTGACCATGTGGAATCGTTTCTTTTCATGCACTATAGGTGTTATATATGACATATGCATTGTGTAAGCACATGTGTTTTATATATATATATATGCTAGGTATAATATGTGTTATATATGCTATGTTATATATGCTATATGTGTTACATATGCATTATATGCTGTCATGTTACATATGCATCATATATGCTACGTTCTGTTATATATGTATTACATATGCTGTGTTGTGTTATATATGCTATATGTGTTATACATACTATAATGCTGCGGTGTGTCATATATGTGTTACATATGCTATATGTGTTATATATACTACATGTGTTAGATAGGCTATGTTGTATTATATGTGCCTATATGTGGGGGAAGCCCACAATCTTCCCCCTTCCCTTGTATATGTCACATATGTTATGCTGTATATTGTTCACTAGTTTACCCTCAGTCCCCATTAGAATGTAAGCTTCAAAGGACAGGGACTTTGTCTTACTGCCTCATTATCAGAACCCAGAACGTGTCTGACACATGGGAGGCCCTCTACAAGTATGCAGTGTGTTGATGGAGGAGTGAGCAGTCAGCTGGAGCTGGGAGCAAGAGATGCCAGCATCACCCAGTACCTGCTTAAGGTGCCGGCATCACCCAGTACCTGCTTGAGGTGCCGGCATCACCCAGTACCTGCTGACAAGCAAAGGCCGCAGATGTTTCTAAACAGGGGAAAGGCATGGCATGATCGGATTTGGTTTCGGGTGGAATTCAGGAATATTTTGACAAATGAGAATAACTGAATGGCTATCAGACCTAGCCCTTCATGGTCAAGCTGCTTTGTCCCGTGGTAAGCTCCTGGGAGCTAGGAATATTTGAGGCAGGGTAAGAGAGGAGGCTATGCTTGCTGGCTTATCCAGGGGGACCAAGCAGGGGAGATCCTTTAGTGTCCCCAAGGGCATTCCAAGCCCCATTTGTGCCAAGGAATCATAACTCCCAAACTGCCTCACTGCTTTCCAGCACCCTGGCACCAGCAGAGATGTGGATGGCATCAGGGTCATCAGAATATTCGGCAGGTAGGAGAAGTTTTAGAAGAACACTTTCAAACTGCTGACCTCAACAGCCTCAATCTTCCCGCAGCCCACAGGTTGCCGTCCTCAAAAATCAGTCACTTCTAGAGGACCCACACTCTCTGGAAAGCAGGCAGGACCTGATCCCAGTTATTCAAGCTGCAACTGGGGGTGGGGTCCTTTGTCAAAGGCTGTATCAGTCAGCTATTGCTGTAGTGACAAAAAACCCCAACATCTCAGTGACTTAACAACAGTGTCAGGTCGTATTATTATGGAGCTCAGACTGTAGGAGTGGCCCCTGTATTGGAACCCGCTTTCTCTCAGCAGAGGACAGAAAACAAAGAATCTCAAAACTAAACCACATAACCACATTCAGAGCTTCCACTGGGACATGGCCAGCATCATGTCCACTCCCACCCAGCTGAACAGAGCGTATGCTACTACAGGGAAGGGGTGGACAGGTAACTCAGTCTGCCACAGGGGTGTTGTGGGCAGAAAGATCTGTGCTGAGGAGCCCATTGAACCAGATGGCCACTCAGGTCATTTCCTCTGCTCTGATATTCCGGAATTATTTCCAAAGTTGATTGCGAACCTCCCTGAGCCTGTCTCCAGCTCTCCCATCACAGTTCCATGGTCCATCTGGAGGGTCCCTCAGGAACTCTCTCCCTAGTCATTCTCGCTCTGTCTTTCCTCCCTTCTGGCAGGTGGGTGGCAGGCCCATGGAGCCCCTGCTCGGCGACCTGTGAGAAGGGCTTCCAGCACCGGGAAGTGACCTGCGTGTACCAGCTGCCGAATGGCACACACATTGCCACACGGCCCCTCTACTGCCCAGGCCCCCGGCCAGCACCAGTGCAGAGCTGTGAAGGCCAGGACTGTCTGTCCATCTGGGAGGCATCTGAGTGGTCACAGGTGGGTGCCTGAGTTTGCCGCCAGGGATGAAACTACCCCGAGGGCCTCCAGGCCTCATCCACAGGGACCCTAACACAGCACCTTTCACCCGTGGTGTTTGGGACACATTCTCAGGCAACCCAGCCCTCGCCTGCCACCAGGTCAACTTAAATTTGTGTTCTAACTCACATACTTTTTAATTCCATCTGAGATATATGTGGACACCACAGTGAAAGTCCTATGGATCTCATTTTTCTATGAAAATTCTCACATAAAATTAGAAAGACAGACAGACAGACGCTGACTGCCCTTTAAATTCTCCTTTGGGCAATATTTGAATTGTAGTGTGGCCAGGCTGGGAAGGTGGTTTCAGAGGCTTTTCTGGAACTCCATGGCAGTCTTTCTGGATTGCCCGAGTCTGAAGCCGAGAGGGACAGATTTTAGTGTGCAAGTCAGAGCTACAAATCTCATGCCACAAAATTTTTTGGAAAGAGGTCAATTAAGCCTTAGGTTTTAACTTTGAAGGCTTGTCCTGGGAATGTGATTTTAGCTTTCGGTGACGCAATCCAATCTTTGCATTAATGATTTTGATTGTTTGTCTATAAAACGACAACAAAAAAAAAAAACACCGAATAAAAGGCAGGCTTCCCTCAGGTCTCCCACCAGACATAGTCTAGGAAACTCAAAGAGGCTCATCCAAGACACTCTTCAGTGTGGAAAATATTTTGAAAGTTCCCTTTTATTGCCAAACAGTTGGAATTATTTTGAATAAAAAAGTATTCAGCCCATTTTTAATGAACGAAAAGTTTGCCCTTGGCTGCTCTAAAACTGAGTTTAATTTCCAGATAGATCTTGACATGTATTTGTTCAAAGACCTGAGCCTTTCACCTACCCTTTATGATATTTTAGGAATATGAGAATCTTAAAATGAGTTGTGTGATCTTTTTAAAATATACACTCATGTTTGTAAGTTTGAAGTTTAACATTCAAGGGATTTGGGAGGGGGGATGAGAGGAATACTTGCTGAAAGGGGTAGCGGCAGGTGTTCGTTCAGTCCGTTCCTCTACCCCAGGTGAACCTTAAGGCCTCAACTACCTGACTCTTGATCTAAACAATATTTATGCTTGAATCAGATTCAAATCATAAATTTTCCACTCAGACTCTTCCTTAGAGAAAAGAAAATGCCTCCCTGCCAGACTGACATTATCAATTATCATTATAGTATTGAAGATTGCCACATTTGGAAAATGTGAGACAATTGGAGCAAGATTTAAAGAAACAGATTTCCATGTCTATATCTACATGCACACCTAATCCTAACCCTGCACTAGCAGTCACACCAGTCATTCTAATCTGGCTCAGCCCTGGCTTGAGCAAAATGCTCCCTTCTAAATATTGAACTTGGAGTCAAATCATTCCCACAGGAGAAGCTCATGAAGCTGGTATTCCTATAGCTTCCGCATGTGCTGAAGCCCCTTAAACCTTTCTTCCACTGGAAGCAAATGGACTTTGTTTTCTCTTGGCTGAGTTTTTATTGACATGATGGCTTTTATTAAGCCATCAGTGTTGATTACTCTCACTACCTACTCCCCAACTTCTCCCTGATTTTATTAGAAGGAGGATCATATACCCAGAGGAAAGCAAAAGGTGGTAAGGCCGTCTTGTCCTCAGCTTCTAGGCCCCACCCCTGATGGGAAGCAAAGAGAGAAACTGAACACTACCCTCCTAGGTCCCTTGGAGATGCTGGCGTCAGCCTCCAGCACTGCCCTTTCCCAAGGACAATGACTTCGAGAGAATGGGCTGCAGGACAGAGAGGGCCCACTCAGGACTTGACTTGGCCAAGAAATAGGCCAGATGTTCAGTGCTTGAAATTTAAGGGAAGTACACAAGAAATGCAGAGTAGAGTAAGACAAAGCAGGACCCGAGCTTGGGCAGAATGGGGAGTAGGCCCCTGGCTGCAGAGGAATGCGTCGTGTGGATGCTAGTAGAGGAGTCCCCAAGTCACATGGTGAGGATGCAGTTGCTGAAATGGTCAGGCAGCTGTGCCACACTGAGAAGCAGAGGGCAGCCCTTCAAGGCAGTGGCCGGGGCTCCCTGCAGCACCGCTCCAGGTCACAACCCATCCTGCCTGGGAGGCCCTGTGTGCGAAGCCACTGTGGACTAAATAAACCCTGGCATCCAAGGCCCCTTTAAAACAGCACCTGGCCCCACACCCCGCTGCTCTTTCAACTCCCCCCAGGGGACACCACAACCAGCTCTGAAGCCTATGTATTTCTTCTAACACAAGCCAGTCTAAACTAGTCTCGAAAGAAAACCCCATGGGACCTTCAGACAGAGAGCTGAAGTGAAATTCACAGGAAAGAGAAAGCTAGGCCATATTTAGGGGTAATCATTAATAACAGAAATATCAAGAATAATGCTTGTCTTTTATGTACCTTTTCTCCAGTGGGTACAGTGGAACTTTTTAAAAAAGGTGTCTGTTGTCACTCAAGAAGGCTCCTGCTGTGCCCTGCTGTGCTTGTGGTTAAACTGAGCAAGTGTGAAACCTCCTTGGCAGAAGCCCGTCTTCAGCCAGCCATCTCCCTAAGTTACGTGTTGTCATCTGCGGTGGGGACAGGGCTTCACAGGGAGGCCACACACCGGTCCACACTCAACATGCTGAAGGGAGGACTCCCTGCGCCAACTCACACACACTTGTCTGTTTTGTCTTACCCAAGGCTACGGCCGGGCTCTGCCTCAGCTTCCTTCTGCTTTGGAGATGGTGCGTGTTCTTGCCTGCCTGGGCACTTTCCCTCCCTGCTCCCTGCGTTGGAGCATGCCCGGAGCAGGCTGCAGACAATCCCAGAGCACCCACTGTGTCTTTACCTGCTGACTCCTCTGCCTCTCATCACTCCTTCGTGCCACCCGAGGGCACAAGAATCCTGAACTCTTGGGTCTTGCACATCATTCTTCACCCCCTCAGGCCCTCCCCATGTCTCTTGCCAGGCGTCCCAGGATGTGTAAGTTACCATTCTCGGCTTCTGTTAAAACATCACTGGAGCTGTCAGCGAGGACTTGCCACCTGCCCTGCAAGAAAGTCTCCTCCTTCTCCATCCTGAATTGGGGCTTTTGCCCCAGGCTGGCCCAGACGGAGCACGTGCACCTGGAGGTCAGCTGGAAGGAGTCAGGGCCTCCCCGTGCTCCAGCTGGCCCCTTTGCCTCACCCCACTCACGGGTCCACTCAGCATCTACCGTTTGAACTCATACGCTGCATTAGGCTTTTGGACCTAAATTCCATCCCCCTCCTTTGACCTTCTGAGTACCCCAAGTGCTTCCCACTTCTGACTCCTGTGTCCTTCCCCCTGACACTGGCCACTCTGCTGGCATCCCAGCTGGGACCTCCTCCATAAGAGTCTGCAAGACCCTGAGCTTTTGGAAGATGGAAACATGGGTCCTCATCTTTGCATCCCCACACCAGGTCTGGCACACAGTAGGGACTTGATAGGTGTCGACAGACTTAACCCAGATCGGACTGGATTAAGTATTTGAATGGTGTCTTGCAGTGTTCTGCCACCTGTGGTAAAGGGATGCAGAAGCGAACCGTGACATGCACCAACTCACAAGGGAAATGTGACGCATCCACGAGGCCCAGAGCCGAGGAGGAGTGCGAGGACTACTCAGGCTGCTATGAGTGGAAAACCGGGGACTGGTCGAAGGTGAGAGCAGCGCGGTGGCATTTCTGTCCCGTCCACGTAGCACAGGAGCTCAAGGGTCAGGAACTCAGCTCTTGTGAGGAGTTCTGATTCTGCCAGGTGTTCCCAGTCTAACTGGACAAGTTAACTTTCTTTCCACACGCCACACCTGCCTGTGACCCCATGTATTTCCTTCCTACTTCTCCCAAAGACTGTGCCAGTGCCTCCCTCCATGGCTTGCTGGGAACATCCCACTGCTTCCTGTGCTTTCTGAAGGAGATTGAGTGCACTCCGAAGCAGGACATGGGTGCCTCGTGCCAGTCTGGTCACTCTGTGTGGCGTGCTAGCTGGGCCTCAGCATTTTGCCACAGGCTTGGCCGAGATAGACACAGAGGGGTGCTTGGGGCAAACGTCACTTCCATTCATGTCCAGGACCCTCGACCAAAGGCCTGAAAGACACAGGGACAGATAAGGTAGGGAGCCTTTGGGTGGGAGTGAGGAAGGGTGTCAGAGAGCTACACTATTAAGGGGTGAGGCAGGTTAAATGGCAGTGGAATGTTTTTCCATGTAAAAAGGTCGCTGTCTAGCCCTTCTTTCTACTGTGTCCCCATTCCCTGGGTGGCCCAGCCAAGGTGAGTGAGTTCCATGGGAGGGGTCTTCCCCTGACATTGCCTCTGGCATAGACTTTGGGTTTACTTTATGGCTCAGGTGTCGTCTTTGCCATCCAGCCTGCAGGCGGTGCTGTGGTTGCACACGTGGGGTCTGCTGCATTTTTAAGCCAGTCTGCCTGGGGTCCTTTCCTGTACCCAGCCTCCAGGCCTTCCCACATGCTGGGCCTTGAAGGTAGCCAACAAGGTGCCTACAAGGAAAGTAGGTGGAAGGCTGAGCACTGTCAGAGTGCTGTTGTCTCTGCGGGAACGGTTTAATTTAACGGTTACCTAATGTCTAGTTCCTGGGAGGAAAACACAGTGGCAACAAGTGTGCTGGGTAGAGTAGGTGCTCCATCACCTGTGTCGTGACAGAGGGCGTTCAGAGTTGTGTTTTCCGGTGGATGGAAGCTTTGGTATCTTCCATCCCAGCAGTCTCTTGTCACTCTGCCCAAGGTGCTGTTGAGAAAGGTGAGCCTGTTTCTGGGGAGGTGACTGACGTACAGGTAAGCCTTAGGACATGCCACGCATGCCACCCACCTAGCTAGATGAGGATGCCTGGGAACGGCTGACCTTCTCAACCCTTAGAGCCTTGGCAAGGCATGGTGGATGCCCAGAGAACATGGACCCACCTCCCACCCCCCACCCCCCGTCATCCTGACCTCGGCGAATGGCCAAATCCTAGCCAGGGTCATGTATGAGAGACACACCTCGTGTTCCCACCCCTGCCGAGGCCATTACTATTGCCCTGGTATGTTTGAAAAATGACCTGCAGCTGCCTTCCTACCCGGGATATTAGCCCTTTCCAGAAAACAGTGTAAATCATTGTTTTCACTCACTGAATGCTGAATCTATGTGTTCAACCCTGGGGGTGGGGGGCACTTGACATCAGGGAGGAGGAAATCTCATTTCTTTCTAGATAGCATGACTTCCGATCAAAAGTTGAAATGCTTCAGATTCAAGACCAGAGGCATTAATCACCACTGAAATGACGGGATGTTTCCAACGAGAAACAAATTATTCTGCAGGGATCATAATGGATGGTGTTTTTAAAGAAAACTGTTGGCTGTCTGTGTTGAGTATGGCGTTTCTTTATTCTGAAAAGATCAAAGTGGTCACTGACCTTCTGGTGCCACTGGCGCCCCATGGAAGGGGCTGGTCTGACTTACAAGGCCTCTGAGCACTCTCACAGCCAAAGCCAGCCTTCTTTCTGTCATGTGGAGGTAACAGCAACTCTCAGAGACCTTCAGAAGATCAAATGATGCCATTTGTGTGCAAGTATCTGTGAGTCGTGAGCCCTAGGAGGAAGTTAGACAGAACCCATCCCTGCCAAGTTCATACACACATTGCTGCGTCCATGCACTCCCCAGACACCTCCCTGATAGATGCCTTTCTGTGTTCTGGGCAGGGAAATAGAGGCTCAGTTCCATGACCTTAGCAATAAACAACAGACCTTGCATCATGCAAAGGGGTAGTTACAGAAAGTTCTCAGCCTCAACGCTTCCGAAGCCTGTGCTTGCTCTGATGGGGCCTGAACGCCGCATCCTACAAGGTCTGTCCAGCTGCCTGCCCCCTTGCTCTGGACCTGTGGCCAAGTCACTATAGTTCAACAGGCATTTCCTGAGCTGCTGGTTTGTGCCAGGCCCCGTTCTAGGCTCTGGAGGTTCAAGGATGGATGGTGTTGTGGCCTAGATGCAGACAGACAGGGAGCCAGCTATAGTGAGTCATTCTAAGTCCTCCTAGGTGAGTTTGAAGCCAGTACTATGGGACTCTGACAGCCCCTGCCTGGGGACCCACAGGGGTGGATGCTGGTGGCAGGTGATACTACTTTTATTGGGATCAGTGACACTGGCTCGCGACATTCACCATTACTCTGGAATTTACAAAGCATTTTCACTCAGGGTATCTCGTCTGACCCTCACAACCATCTTTCCCCATTTTACAGATGAGAAAACTGAGGCTCAGAGTGGTCATGAGGCCTTTTTCCCAAACTCACACAACTAGACAATGGCAGGTCTAGGAGTCTGGTCTTTGCCTTCTGACTAGAAATCTAAACTAGTGCTTTCAAGTGCGCCATCATGTCAGAAGCTTGGATTCTTAATCTAAAACAAGACAGAACTGCCTTTAGTTCTGACCATCATAGGCTGGTGCTTTAAAAACCAAGTATCTACCTGCTGTCTCTCCAGCCAACCATGTCCCTCAAAGCCCACTCCCCCAAAGGCTTTGTATCAGTCATTTACAATTTAGTGTAAATCTGTTATCTAAGACAGAGGTACCAAACCCCAGGCCACAGACCAGTACCAGCCCATGGCCTGTCAGGAACTAGGCCACATAGCAGGAGGTGAGTGGTGAATGAGCAGCGAAGCTTCATCTATACAGCCGCTCCCCATAGCTTGCATTACCACCTGAGCTCCGCCTCCTGTCAGATCAGCCGTGGTATTAGATTGCCATAGGAGTACAAACCCTATTGTGAACTGCGCATATGAGGGGCCTAGGCTGCACACTCCTTATGAGAATCTAATGCCTGATGATCAGAGGCAGAACTGAGGCAGTGACGCTAGCACTGGGGAGCAGCTGCAAATACAGATTAACGTTAGCAGTGAGGTCTGACTGCACAGAGACCATAGTAAATCAATTGCTTGCAGACTCCTTTCAAAGTCCTATCAGTGAGTGGCAAGTGAGTTGATGTACTTCAATTGTACAGCTGCACCTAGTGGCCGGCTTTAAGTCAGAATCTGACACCTGTTTTAGTCTGTGTGTGGCCCGTCTATTATTTTATTTACCATTTCCATCCATGCCTTTTTTTAAATGATTAGTTGTATAGTTATTTTATTATATATTACAACATAATAACAATAGAGATAAAGTATACAATAAATATTATGTGCTTGAATTATCCCAAAACTTTCTCCCACCCCTGTCCCTTGGAAAAATTGTCTTCCACAAACTCAGTCCCTGATGCCAAAAAGACTGAGGACTACTGCTGTAGGAGATTGTTCATATTCAGTCTCCCTGAATTGTGAAATTAAAAGTCAAGTCCTTATTGAAGTTAACTTGGGCATCAAAGAGCAAGTATGCGAGGCACTGGGGACACTGGGGCTCTTTTCTGGGATGTGGACACCATGGAAGCAGCCAGCACTTAGCCTTAAGGTCGGCCAAGATAAGCAAATCCTACATTTGATGTTACTCTTGGGAATGACAGCAGCCAGTGAAAGGCAGTTAGCAAAAGTCCGTGCTTGTCTGGACAGGGGCAGAAGGTAGGGGGACAGACACCCCCAGATGTGGACCACTGTGTGTGAGCACACAGAGCCTGCCACTGGCCTATGGGATACAGAGAGCGGTCCAAGGCCCAGTCCCTGCTCAGGTGGGAGAAGTGAGCTTGCTGTAGGGCAGTGACATCCTAGGACATCGCCAGGAGAGGTAGCCTGGGAGGTGACAGGGGCTGTACCAATGGTCTGAAGGGCCTTTGTCTCCTCAGCCCCTCCCATCCCTCCATTGCCTCAGTGTCACCTGTCAAACAGACTGCCTTTGTGTGGAGAGATCAGAGTAGCCACCGTCACTATTAAATCCAAAGCTGTCATCCCCAAGGAACACTTTTGGTTTGCCAACTATGTGTCAGGAACCTCTGAGCAGGGCAGGTGGTTGAGGCAATGTAGGTCCACGTCCCAGCTTGGCTGTGGCCTCATCTGACCATATGTCCTCTGTCACATGAATCCGTGTGTAGCCCTAGGACTGATGGAGGAATGACTGACATCCTAGTGAAGCACTCAGCCCAGCACTTGACACCCTCAGGTGCTCATTTTGATCCTGTTCATCGTCGTTTTCACCATCACCATCATCCGCTACAATCACAGGTCTTTGTCTCTCATCAGCCTCTCATTTCTTATATGGGCCTGTAAAATGTTTGTGTCTTAGAAAAACAGTTCTTCGAAGTGCTTCTGGCCCCTTAAAGCCGCGCGTTCCCTGGCCGCTTGCCCATGTGTGATGGCAGTGTGATGCTGAAGCTTCTGCAGTCGATGGTGGGAAAGCCCAGTTACCACCATGAACTGCTCCAGCCCAGGGGAAAAGCAGGAGGGGAAAGAGAATAAGTGCTGCCCCTGCAGTCTCCTCTACGCTCCAGCCCCCAAGAGCTCTGGGGACCTCCCAGCCCCCGCAGGTGATCAGGGATCACCTTGGTCTTCTGGTTCCCCAGCTGCAAAGTCAAAGAACAAGGGATGCCTGAAGCTAAGGCTGGAAGGAGGCAGGATTTGAAGGGGGAGAGGGCACTGGCGTGTGGGCCTCTGTCTAAGAAAGCCTTTCCTGTTTCAGAGCTGGTGTGAAGAGAGTGGGGATTTTCACAATTGTTCAAACCTGCTATTTCAGGTTTCAGCAGCTTCT